TTTAACAACAAAACGAGGGGCCGGCGCTGTGTACCCCCTGAAGAAAAAGGCACTGTCAATAAGGAGAATTAACTGGTTAAAACTCGCACCAGCTTTCTAAACATACAGGTAGTTTCCTCTAAACAAGGAGTTTTTCAGCAGAGGCCAAAAAGAGCACAGCAAAGGCCTGGTGTCAAGAAGCAGGGAGTTCCAAAGGGCACATGCTGCCAAACTTAGAGTGTTTACAAATATGGACTGGGCATTATGTGGCACCTATAACAGGGCCAGTTCCACTGAACACAGTTCCCACTTTGAGCCCTGGGGCACATGACATCACTACCCTTTAAAGCAGGGGTCAGCCAACTTTTTCAGCAGGGGGCTGGTCCACTGTCCCTCAGACCTTGTTGTGGGCCGGACTATATTTTGGGGGAAAATGATAATAATGCCCTATGCCCCACAAATAACCCAGAGATGCATTTTAAATAAAAGCACACATTCTACTCATGTAAAAACACGCTGACTCCCGGACCGTCTGTGGGCCAGATTTAGAAGACGATTGGGCCGGATCCGGGCCCCGGGCCTTAAGGTTGCCTACCCATGCTTCAAAGTATTTCTTGCTTGGACAAGTTTTCCCCCTTTTTCTGAGGGCATCAAAAGCAGAAGTAAAGTGATATCCATCTCCAAAGCCCGTGACTCACATCCTTCCTTCTTCCTTGACTTTTAAGCACCATTCCACTTTCCCCCTTGCCCTCCTTTTGCAAGGAGGTGACCTTATCCCCTCCTCTTCCTGCAAGCGTGAGCCAGAAGATGCAACCCAGTGCCGGATTTACGTATAAGCTAAACAAGCTATAGCTTAGGGCCCCACTCTCTCGGGGGCCCCCCAAAAAATTAAAGGGGAAAAACCTGGATGTACATTTCCCAAAAAATAAGATAAAAAATAAATAAAATAAAACCTACATACAGCAATTTTGTGTAGGCTCCTATGGTGTAAGTCAGGTATCCCCAAACTTGGCCCTCCAGATGTTTTGGGACTACAACTCCCATCATCCCTGGCCTTGTTAGCTAGGGATGATGGGAGTTGTAGTCCCGAAACATCTGGAGGGCCAAGTTTGGGGATTCCTGGTGTAAGTAATGGGGCCCGCCTGCTAGCCTGCTCCCTAAATTATCACTGGTTTGCTCATTTCTATATATAGGGTGCTTACATTCTGCTATTTATAATTATTAGTAGTTTGCATCATATATTGACACCTATTATTGTTTCATGTTATAGCAAGTTTCTAGAGACTAGATTATGAGTCTTTGTAAATTGCATTTCTAAAGGAACTTTTGTTCTTGCCAAATGCCAATGTGTTTGCATTATTAAGTTTGTTATGAACAAAAAAATCATTTTAAGTTAGAGCTTAATAATTATTTCACTATTAATTATGCTTCTTCTTAATTGTATTTAGCTCATTCACTTAGAACAGGCATGTCCAAAGTCCATTTTGGGGGCCTATCTGGCCCGCCGCTCAATTTAATCTGGCAGTATATGTCTTGGGATAAAACCCTAAAAAATTGTAAAATTGTAAAAGAAGCTCAACAACTTCATCAATCCTAAAAAATAAAGCTCAGCAACTTTGGTCGGCCCTCACGCATGTTCACTTCATCAAATCTGGCCCTCTTTGAAAAAGGTTTGGGCACCCCTGACTTAGAACCGACCACTAATGATACTTCTTATTTGTCGTTGCATAGAAATCCTTGTTACTTTAAGCTTATCAATACAGCTCCAAAAAAGAGAGCTTCAAATATACACTTTTACTTCTCAGTGATAAATTCATCTTTTAAAAAATTCTTTTTGGGGTGTTTTGCAATCATGCATTTTATGGGACAAATAAATAAATAAATAAATAAACCTTGCCTAGAGTGACCACTGGGGATTGGACTTGGGAACTTTTGCTGGCTCCTGAGCTACAGCCCTTCTTAAAATCAGTGTTGCTGTTGTTATGTCTTTTGAAAGAATGCAAGAGTCCACTTATGGTTTTCAAGCAAACCATAGCAGCCACCCCCGCCCCCCGCTTCATAGCAAGCAACATGTTCCTGATGCAAGACACGAATCAGAGCTAGAACCTATTAAAACTCAGATGGTTTAAAAATTATGCGTGGTCCGTTCTGCAATAAATGTTGCCAGACGTTTTCAGAAAAGAGGATAGTGCTGTTTTCCTCTTCCCAAAAAAAAACTGCTATGGATTGTTGTAGCATTTATGATTGAAAGTTTAAAGTTAAGATGTAAAAAGAATTATGAAAGTAATTAGATGCAATGTAAACAAAGATAAGAAATTGGAAACTTGAGGGGGCGGGGGGAAGGCAATCAATTAGAATATGGATATGTTATGTTATTGAAATTGGTTTTTAATTGAGGAAATTTATATACACAAACACACACACACACAGAGAGAGAGAGAGAGAGAGAGAGAGAGAGTATATATATTAAGGAAGAGCAGGTCATACGTCCTCAAAGGGTTTTATAGTTGCATGTAAGTGGCTGTGCTCTCCATTTCTTAGGAGAACAAACCCTCTTCAACCCTCACCTCAAAAAAGGTATTGCCGAATTGGGGGGAAATCCAGAAAAGAGCAACCAAAATGATCAGGGGTGGAGCGATTCCCCTTTGAGGAAAAGCTGTCCTTTCCCAAATTCTGGAGAGGGGAGAAACACCCAACCTCACAGAGAAGGAGCAAGGATGATTTCCTATTTGTTGAGAGGGGACAATTCTTCCCCCAAAGAATCCATGTTATTTTAAAAGCTGTGCCACGTTAGTTTTGACATTTGAAGGCGTGCTGCTCCCGTCACATCGCGTTAGGGTGACGGGACCAGATACGTTGTCACCTCAGGTAACATGGCCGGAGTTAGCCAAGTGTGTTGTGAAGGCAGGCAGGCTGGTGAGTCGCGGGGAGAACAGAGGAAGGACACCATCTCAGTGGACAGCCATTCTGCCCCACAATGTATTGCCAAGAGGACTAGCCACATTAGACCAAGGCCAAATTTGCTGGCTGCTCTGCCTGAGGAAGTGAAGATCAAGCAGGGACCTGATGGTGGACTCTCCTTCCTTGGAGGTTTTTAAGCAGAGGTTGGATGGCCATCTGTCGTGGATGCTGCAGCTGAGGTTCCTGCACTGCAGGGGATTCGAACAGAGGACCCACGAGATCCCTTCGAACTCGACAATTCTATGACCCCTTCTGACTCTAGTCCAAGAATCAAGACATGATGCAGCGTCCCTTGGCTCACTCATGGCAGTTGAAGGGTTGAGATGGAAGAGATGGAACTTGGCCAATGCAATTCTGGGCTGCATCAATAGGAGTATAGCATCTAGATCAAGGGAAGTAATAGTGCCACTGTATTCTGCTCTGGTCAGACCTCACCTGGAGTACTGTGTCCAGTTCTGGGCACCACAGTTCAAGAAGGACACTGACAAACTGGAACGTGTCCAGAGGAGGGCAACCAAAATGGTCAAAGGCCTGGAAACAATGCCTTATGAGGAACGGCTAAGGGAGCTGGGCATGTTTAGCCTGGAGAAGAGGAGGTTAAGGGGTGATATGATAGCCATGTTCAAATATATAAAAGGATGTCACATAGAGGAGGGAGAAAGGTTGTTTTCTGCTGCTCCAGAGAAGCGGACACGGAGCAATGGATCCAAACTACAAGAAAGAAGATTCCACCTAAACATTAGGAAGAACTTCCTGACAGTAAGAGCTGTTCGACAGTGGAATTTGCTGCCAAGGAGTGTGGTGGAGTCTCCTTCTTTGGAGGTCTTTAAGCAGAGGCTTGACAACCATATGTCAGGAGTGCTCTGATGGTGTTTCCTGCTTGGCAGGGGGTTGGACTCGATGGCCCTTGTAGTCTCTTCCAACTCTATGATTCTATGATTCATTCATTGAGCAGAAAGTCCTGTCCTGTTGACCAAAAGTGGAGATTAGATAGATAGATAGATAGATAGATAGATGATTAGGGGTCAGCAAACTTTTTCAGCAGGGGGCCGGTCCACTGTCCCTCAGACCTTGTGGGGGGCCGGATTATACTGTAACCCGAGGTACCACTGTATTTTGAAAAAAATAATAATGAACGAATTCCTATGTCCCACAAATAACCCAGAGATGCATTTTAAATAAAAGCACACATTCTACTCATGTAAAAACACGCTGATTCCCAGACTATCTGTGGGCCGGATTGAGAAGGCGATTGGGCCAGATCCGGCCCCCGGGCCTTAGTTTGACTACCCATGGGTTAGGACCTCAGGCTCCAGGAGCCACCCTGTAACAGCTCCCTCCTGAGCACTCTCCTCAGGTGTGGGGAAGAACTCTGCCTAAGAGCCTGTAATCCTGGGCACTTAGAGAAGACTGTCCTAAAATGGATGGGCCAAGGATTTAACTCCATGTAAGGAACGCTCAAGGCTAAAAACAACTCTCTCCCACCACTGGAAAACGTTGGTTTCTGTTAAAACCGAGGGCAGAATTTGTGGTTTTGGCAACAGCCAATTTTTACTGAAATTATTTCCAGGAACATCCCCAAAGTTAAAGTTCGGGAGGATAAAACTCACCACCCAAACAAGAACAACATGTCAGAATTTGGAAGCACATCAGTGGCAATCTTGCTGGCGCTCGATATTTCGACACTTAAATTCAGAGCTGAGAAAAGGAGAGAATGGTGGTCACTTTGGAGAGCAAATCCCAGCGGGGTAGCTGTGTTAGTCTGTTACAGCAAACCTAAAGGGGAAATAAGCTGTCAAGTTATGAAAGCAGCTTTAAAAACAAACCCTCCAAAAAACCCAAGAAGGAAGTATTTGGCTGTTATAGCTGGTTCCACACCAAATAGCTACTCCTGACCTCACTAAAAACACTCTCTTTGCATGGTATGCAAGGACCAGGCCATAAATGTTTCCAGGGACTCAACCTTTGATGTTTTCTGTCTGGTTCCATGGTTACCAAGGCATTGACGTATAAATGAAGGATGTCATGCCATGGTTCCACACTGGCCTTGCCCACCTGTCCATGGAGCCAGCCAAGGGCGGACCCTTCTGGTAGTAGCACCTCATTAAAGATGATAGCAAGTTGGGTCACAGGCATTCGGACGGGTGGCCTCTGGAGAAAGCAAATTTGGCACTGGCAAGAAGTCTCCCCGGGGTGTTTCCCACCCAACTCAGTGCTAGGTTACCCATCAGACAGGCTAAGCATGTGCCCCAGCAAAGCAAACAAATGAGATACTGTTTCGATTTTGATTTTTAATAAAGAATTTGATTATTTATTTATTTTTAAAGGCATTGAAGTAGCCATCATGGGGAAAACCAGATCTACATTTCACTGATGAATTGTCAGCAGATGTGCAGACCGTATTGCCAAAGAAGTCTCGGTGTTTGGCATGCAGAAGGCACTGCCTTCAATCGCTTGCACCTCCACCTAGGGCTGGGAGAGACTCCTGCCAGAAACCCACGAGAGAAGCTGCCAGTCAGTGCAGGTAATACTGAGGCTATGCTCTCACTTTCTCACTTGGTATAAGGCGGTTTCATACATTCATAAGGTGGTCTGTGTTGTGCATCTATCTATCTATCTATCTATCTATCTATCTATCTATCTATCTATCTATCTATCTATCTATCTATCTATTTTTTTGTATATAATTTTTATTAGTTTCCCATTTAATAATATACAATCATATCATTGTTAACCACTTTACCTCTGGCTCTTTAGAGCCCATCGACTTCCTTCCCTCCCGCCTCATGGCTTTCAAAATCAACCTTTATATCATTGCATTTTATACGTTTTCCAATTCTAATTTCACTCGTTACAAAAAGACATTAAAATTTAGATTAGAATAAAATGGGAGAAAGTTTCTCATTACAAGTCTTCAGACAACCCTGCTAGTGATGTTAATTGCTTATTACAGTAATCTTTCAAATATCGTCTAAATTTACTCCAGTCCTTTTGGAATACTGGATCACGCTGGTTTCGGATTTTTCCTGTCAGCTTCGCCAGTTCCGCAAAGTCCATCATTTTCATCTGCCACTCTTCTTTCGTTGGTAGTTCTTGTTGTCTGTCTATCATCTATCTATCTATCTATCTATCTATCATCTATCTATCTATCATCTATCTATCTATCACATGGGTAGGCAAACTAAGGCCCGGGGCTGGATCCAGCCCAATCACCTTCTCAAGTGTTTTTACATGAGTAGAATGTGTGCTTTTATTTAAAATGCATCTCTGGGTTATTTGTGGGGCTTGCCTGGTGTTTTTACATGAGTAGAATGTGTGCTTTTATTTAAAATGCATCTCTGGGTTATCTGTGGGGCGTAGGAATTCGTTCATTATTATTTTTTTCAAAATACAGTGGTATCTCAGGTTACAGATGCTTCAGGTTACAGACTCCGCTAACCCAGAAATAGTACCTCGGGTTAAGAACTTTGCTACAGGATGAGAACAGAAAACGCGCAGCAGTGGCGCGAGAGGCCCCACTAGCTAAAGTGATACCTGTGGTTAAGAACAGTTTCAGGTTAAGAACGGACCTCCAGAACGAATTAAATTCTTAACCCAAGGTACCACTGGCTAGTCTGGCCCACCACAAGGTCTGAGGGACAGTGGACCGGCCCCCTGCTTTGGTGGTGAGCCCCTGATCTCCTACCCTTCCACTCCAATTTTCTAATGAATTCTGGAAACTGTAGTGGGGGGGCGAGGAGTAAGCGGAAGTCTGTAAACAGGAACTAACACCGGCACCTCATCAGAACACAATCCCTCAAGTTTCCTCAATGGTGAGAAAACCACTTGCAAGTCTTTTTTTATGCTTCCTGCACAAGGCAAGAAATATTTGAAGAAGACTGCAAAGAGTGATGGCTGCATGTCTTTGCACCTTTCTTTGGGTGCATTGGCTTTTTTTTTTTTTAAAAGGACATGTAAAAAAATATGACTTGGGGGAGGGCAGTGAGACCAAAGGGATGTGCTTTTAAATAAGGTATTTTCTCCAGCTCTTTGAAAGTCCTCATTCCATATGCACAGGGTGTGTTTCATAATGTGATGCTTTATGCATCTGCTTTCGGCTGCTCAGCTGCAGAAATGCAAGCTCCAGAGCTGGGTTTTGGCAATGTCATCAGGATCTCAGGCACGCATCGACTTGATTCCCAGCTCCTTTTGCTGGCTGAGCTGCTTCTTATAGGTCAGCAGTTGCAAAAGTCCCATGTCTCCCTCCCCTCTCCCGCCACCATCTCCAATCTTTGTGAAATCAGCAAAACTGTCTCTTTCGTGCCAGCACACGGGATGTTTTGCTTTACATATTCATATTCTATTCAGCGGCAGAGTCGATTCACATGCTTTTTTTCCTTTAAGCAAAAACAAAACAGGTTGCGTTTCTTGCGAAACCTTTGGCAAAGATCCACAGCCGTGCTTGTCAGGACTGCTCATCAAAAGATCCTTGCAGGTGGATCGTAACAAAACATTTATTGCGTTACCCTAGAACTCTTATTTCACACAGGGCATAGTTTAACTGTGGAACTCACTGCCACAGGAGGCAGTAATGGTGATCAACCTTGTTGTTGTTTAGTCGTGTCCGACTATTCGTGACCCCATGGTCCAGAGCACTCCAGGCACTCCTGTCTTCCACTGCCTCCCGCAGTTTCGTCAAACTCATACTGGTAGCTTCAAGAACACTATCCAACCGTCTCGTCCTCTGTCGTCCCCTTCTCCTTGTGCCCTCCATCTTTCCCAACATCAGGGTCTTTTCCAGGGAGTCTTCTCTTCTCATGAGGTGGCCAAAGTACTGGAGTCTCAGCTTCAGGATCTGTCCTTCCAGTGAGCACTCAGGGCTGATTTCCTTCAGAATGGATAGATTTGATCTTCTTGCAATCCATGGGACTCTCAAGAGTCTCCTCCAGCACCATAATTCAAAAGCCTCGATTCTTTGGCGATCAGCCTTTTTCTTCTTATTATTTTATAATAATTTTATTAGGTTTTACAAATATTTTCCAACATAACATCATTTTTATATAATCATCAAAGCTACATTTGGCTATATAAGCCTGAGACCTCCCTCATCCTCGTCTGTTGGTTTTCCCACCTAATCTCTAATAATGCATTTTCATAATTTTTTATTATTATTAAATCTTAATCTTTGTCAATCATTTATATATTATACTACTACTAATTAATAATCATTTAACCTTATAAAACTTATTGTAACCCTACTAGCAATGTCAATCGTTTTCAATTGTCTTTCAAATATATCATAAATTTATTCCAGTCTTTCAGAAAAGTCTGGTCCTGCTGGTTCCGAATTTCCCCTACCAATTGTAGCAAATTCTGTATATTCCAGTAGTTTCATCTGCCATTCTTCTTTTGTTGGTATCTCTTGTTTCCATCTATGGGCTAATAATATTCTTGCTGCATTTGCTGCATATAAAAACAATGTTTTATCTTGCTTATGTATTTCTCTACCTACAATACCTATCAAGCAGGCTTCTGGTGTTTTTTTATAAATGTATATTAGGTGAAGGCTTTTTGGGAAATGATATATAACGAGCTTAAAAAAATATACATTTTGGAAGGTGTTTCATTACGAACCAGAATCATAGAAATAATGGTAAAGGTAAAGGGACCCCTGACCATTAGGTCCAGTCGTGACCAACTCTGGGGTTGCAGCGCTCATCTCGCTTTATTGGCCGAGGAAGCCAGCGTACAGCTTCCGGATCATGTGGCCAGCATGACTAAGCCGCTACTGGCGAACCAGAGCAGCGCACGGAAACGCCTTTTACCTTCCTGCCAGACTGGTACCTATTTATCTACTTGCACTTTGATGTGCTTTTGAACTGCTAGGTTGGAAGGAGCAGGGACCGAGCAACGGGAGCTCACCCCGTTGCAGGGATTCGAACCACCGACCTTCTGATCGGCAAGTACTGGGCTCTGTGGTTTAACCCACAGCGCCACCCGCGTCTGTTTCATTACGAACCAGAATCATAGAAATAATGGTAGGAATCTCTTTATTTGATGGTGGCTATTAACTGAAGCGTGCTTTTATGTTCCCCTCTCCCTAGCAGGACAAGAAGAGTTTTGGGAAGCCTGTAAAATGAATGCTGCTTCCTGTCCAGCCCCACACCCCAATGCACTTACTGGCAAATAAAGTGTATCCACAGAAAATCTGGGCAATACATGTCTTATTTAACTTGTAAGGCCGATTGAATGTTGCCGCATGCAGCTGTGGCCTGCATCTCCAAAACCTAAGAAGGAGCCAGAAAGCAGGTGGTTTGTCCTTGCCACTTGAGTAGCAAATTCTGCCAAGGGGCTTTGGCAAAGCTGCTCAGCCATGAGATGGTCACAACAATACAAACACAACACATAGGCAAATAGTTAGAAGAAAATATATAATAGAATAATGATATCAAATTATAGGAGTAAGCCAATCAAAGTTCGTATATACAATACAGTGGTGCCTCGCAAGACGAAAAGAATCCGTTCCGCGAGTCTCTTCGTCTTGCGGTTTTTTCGTCTTGCGAAGCAAGCCCATTAGCGGATTAGCACTATTAGCGGATTAGCGGGCTTAGCGGATCAGCTGATGAGCGGCTTAGCGCCTTAGCGGATCAGCTGATAAGCGGCTTAGTGGCTTAACGGATCAGCTGTTAAGCGGCTTAGCGGATCAGCTGTTAAGCGGCTTAGCGGATCAGCTGATAAGCGGCTTAGCGATCAGCTGTTAAGCGGCTTAGCGGATCAGCTGATAAGCGGCTTAGCGGATCAGCTGATAAGCGGCTTAGTGGCTTAACGGATCAGCTGTTAAGCAGCTTAGCGGATCAGCTGATAAGCGGCTTAGCGATCAGCTGTTAAGCGGCTTAGCGGATCAGCTGATAAGCGGTTTAGCGGCTTGGGAAAAAGGGGGGGGAAGGAAAAAAAACCCCGCAGGAACTCGCAAGACATTTTCGTCTTGCGAAGCAAGCCCATAGGAAATTCGTTTTGCGAAGCACCTCCAAAACGGAAAACCCTTTCGTCTAGCGGGTTTTCCGTCTTGCGAGGCATTCGTCTTGCGGGGCACCACTATATAGCAGAGTGGTAGCGAGAACCTTTCAAAAGTATCAAAAGAAGACGTCTCAAAAGTTTCAAAAGTAAAGTCTCAATAGTTTTTCAAAAGTTTCAATGGAAGATGTCTCAAAAACCTCAAAAGGACAGTGTCTCCAGAATGATGCTGCTGTTTCGTAATAGTCTTTATCAGCTGGAAATAAGATGCAAGGCATACAACCGATGAATGATAACAAAACTGAGCTACCTGCATACACACTGTAAAATAAAGCAGAAGAGACAAAACAGAATAAAGGTACATACCCGATATTTTTCAACAGAATATGTAAGTAAGATACATGCTAAGGATCAGTGCTCACTAGATAGTGTAGCTATTGATACTTCCAACACAATTGCATAGGACATATAAAGTAAGGCACAGGTGTTTCCAATAACGATATACTTAAAGGAACAGTATGGCATATACAGCATAGAAAAACAAAGTAGACCCATGAAAAACAAATATATAGTGGAATGGTATTGAATGGTTTAAACATAAGTGGAATTGTAATGAAATTAAAAAGTTTTGGGAAAATGATATATAACGAACTGAAGAAAATGTTCCAATTAATATTTGTTAAAAAACTTGAAGCATTTTTGTTAGGGATTGTAGGGAAAGACCTGCCAAGGAAATTGAAAAATATCTTTATGTATGCAACAACGGCAGCAAGAGTCTTAATAGCACAAGGATGGAAGAATGAGGAAATCCCGACTAAAGAACTAAGGCAAGAGAAATTGATGGACTGCACAGAATTGGCAAAATTGACACACAAACTACATGACAAGGATAACTGTGATTTTAAAGATGAATGGGAACCCTTTACAAAGTATTTAAAGAAACAACAAAATGAACTGGACTCCTTGGCAGGCTTTGAATAAACATTCACAAACTTTTTATTGATAACACTCAGATAAATAAATTAAGGATCTGTACAGTTTTATAACATGCAGAAAATAACATAGGTTGATAAACCAGGGAGAGGCGCTGAGGGAAGTCTGGGGAGAGAGGAGGGTGGGTTATGTTTTTGGGGAGGGGGGAAGGGAAAAAACAGAGGGGGGAAATTTAAGGATGATACATTTTTTTGATAAAATGTGATGCTGAAATAATTAATAAAAAATAATTTAAAAAAGAATGCTTTAAACATACAACAAATGATGCGGGCAGCAATTTTAAAATGAAACAAAGTCAAGTTCAGAATTTAGCCCCCCCCCCCCTCCCCCGGACGAATTGATTTAAACAGAAAAATAAAATGAGTTTCTTGTTGACGTAGCCGCCATTCAAAATCTTGCCTAATCCTGAGTTCCTTTTGATTTACCCTTAATACTGTACATAATAAATCTGTGTCCGAATGTTTATGGGATATAAAATGTTCGACCAAAGGTGCCTCCATAATGGCATATAGTATGTGGGGACGATGTTCCCCAATGCGAACCCTGACTTCTCATGTGGTAGAACCTATATATAATAAATTATATGGACATCAAATAAGTTAAACCACATCTTTAGTTTGACATGTACTGAATTGACGTGTCGAAAATCTAAAATTAGACTTATCATAGATCTCTTTGATCTGGAGTGAAAATGGGCAGGATGAACATCTACCACACTTGTAATAGCCAGTGGGGCCAAAATTGCCAATGGACTGAGTAAGAGTCATATCAGTGTGAACCAGCATGACCTTGATAGAGTTGGTCCCCCTAAGGTCAATTAAGAGGAAATCATCACAACCAGGCGCGTTCCACAGAATGTGCCAGTGCTTACGTATGATTCTGATCATTCTATTTAAATAAGCCATATATTCTAACGATCCCGTGACACTGGTATTAGAAGGAGATGTTGTATTTGGAGTGAGTAGTGTAGAACGGTCCTTGATTAAGGATCTTTGCTCCCTAGCAGCTGCCTGAAGGAGAGCCTCCCTTGCAAAACCAAGCTGGACAGGAAACCCCCCGAGGTTGAAAGGAAAAGGACTCCATTGGCGCCTTTGCACACACTTTTCACCCAAGGAATTCCTGGTCATAGTGGAAGTTGACAACCATCCCCAGGAGAGCAATCAGCAGCTGTGGGAAGTTCCAGCGCACAGCTGCCTTGTAGTCCTCCATCCTGAGGATGGCGTGTAACAGGCTGGTGAGATGTTGCTGGAAAAGAGAGAGGTGCAAGTCACTTTCCCTGCTTTTCTGCAGAATACAGGAATCCCTAGATATTACCCTGGGAAGGAAGCCAGAAAGCAGGTGGTTGGTCCTTACCACTTGGGTGGCAGATTCCGCCAAGGGGCTTTGGTAAAGTTGCTCGGCCGTGAGATGGAGCAGTTGTTCTTGGGCGGCCGATGCTAAAACCTCCTTCCATACTCTCTTGCAGTCTCTGTGAATGCAAAAACAAGAGCAATTCAAGTCTCCTGCTTGCTGCCATGCTCCAGAGAGAGGAAATGGCAGCAAGGGCTTTCTGAGCAAGCCCTGCAGTTTGCCAACGATACGATACCATACAATAATACGATAATCTATATTGTCATTGTCCCATACAGAACAACAAAATTGAAAAATCTACATCAGACATTCAAAAACCAACAAGCCTGCTATCCCAGCTATCCCGACCTGGTTAGCCCCCTAAAAACTCTGATATCCCATTTTTAAATACAATACACAGTACTCCCCTAGAGACTCCTTACACTGCGTTTAAAACCAAAATCACATTTGGATAGAAACTGTTTCTCTGGTGGCTAGTCCTAGTCTTTAGTCCCTTAGCCCAGTAGAACCTGGAGGGCTCCATACCCGAAGGGAAATTGGAGGAGGTATTCAACCACTTTCTCCAGGGGGTGGTGTGACAAGATGGAGAAAGCGAAGACAGCTATGTTTCTGCCCTCCACTGTAGGCCCCGGGTGATCTTGTAGAAGGCCTCCAGCAGCACCTTCACCTGTCAGAGAAAAGGAGAGGGTTGCTTAGAGAGTACAAGGAAGCGGGGCTGTCTGCAGGCAGATCCCTCCATCCCTCATTGAAAGAGGGACCCTTGACCTGTGCCACCACAGCCTCTTCCTTCCAAGGTACCACTCAGGGTCCTGGGAGTATTGGACCCAGGCAGCTCCAGGGCGCCAGTTCCCCTATCCATTGTGGGCCAAGAGAAGTAGCTTGCCTGTCTGCTCCCAGAAGGAGGAGGATCCCCCATTCCTGAACCCATGTTTCTCAGGACCCTTGGCTGAGGTTCTTGTCCTGACATTGCCAGGCCCCTCTCAACTAACATGTGTCCTGGCCACCCAATGGCATGAGGTTGCCTCCCCTACACCAAAGCGGAGAATCTTCTTCTCTCCTACCTTTGCAGACGCCTTACCTCCACTTTTGTGCCGCCAAACTGCTTGATGAATTCTTGCATTCTCCAACGGGTTGAAGCTGCTCTCGACAACCAGGTCTCTGGCCAGGAAGCACATGGCCTCCAAGAGCTGCTCCGCAGGGAGAAAGGCACCAAAGACCTGAAGCAAGAGGGGAAGGTCAGAGATGCCCACAGGGCAGGGCTGGGGACCAGAAAGCCCAGGTGCTGCCTCTGCAGAACCCAGAACATGTGGCTTGAGAGACCGCTGGGCCTTGTGGGACAGCGACTTACCCTGGCAAGAGAGTAGCAGTCATTGACGAATAATTCAGGAACCGGTCCTCCAGTGGAACTGAGGACCTTCTGAGCTCTGATGATGAGTGTTTGGTTCCATGACATTTGTGCCAGTGTCTCTGCAAATATAATAATAATAATATAATAATAATAAATGTTATTTATACCCTGTCCTCCCCAGCCAAGGCCGGGCTCAGGGTGGCTAACAAGCAATAATAAAAACAAGTTGAATGAATACAACTTAAAAACAAGATTAAAATACAACATTAAAACATTAAAATGCAGCCTCATCACAGAAGGAGAAAGGAAAAAAGAAAGAGGGGGAGGGAATCAAATTGACTCCAAGCCAAAGGCCAGGCGGAACAACTCTGTCTTACAGGCCCTGCGGAAAGAAATCAGATCCTGCAGGGTCCTGGTCTCATGAGGCAGAGCGTTCCACCAGGCCGGAGCCAGAGTTGAAAAGGCCCTGGCTCTGGTTGAGGCTAATCTAACTTCCTTAGGGCCCGGGACCTCTAGGGTGTTGCTAGTTATGGACCTTAAGGTCCTCCGTGGGGCATACTGGGAAAGGCGGTCATGTAGGTACGAGGGTCCTAGCCCATGAAGGGCTTTAAAGGTCAAAACCAGCACCTTCAATCTGACCCTGTACTCCACCAGGAGCCAGTACAGCTGGAAAAGCACTGGGTGAATATGCTCCCATGGCAGGGATCCCGTGAGGAGCCTCGCTGCAGCATTCTGCACCCGCTGGAGTCTCTGGGACAGCTTCAAGGGCAGCCCCGCGTAGAGCGAATTACAGTAGTCAAGCAAAGGAAAGCCCAAGGGTTAGTTCAGGTCTTGCTCACCTCACCCCATGCTGGGATGCCCAGGAGAGCAGCTCCTCACTGGCCTCTGTCCCAAAACAAGGATCTGAATCCTGCAGCCCGGCTGAAGCTGGTAAACCCTCTACTAGGTGCTCTGGGGCTGGCGGGCGTTTGATACCCCTGCATGGTTACAATGCTTCCCTTAAGTAACTCACATATTCCTGAATCTTCTGCAGGCGGTCGGAAAGATCTTGGAGCGCCTTTCTTTGGACCAGCTTCTTCCGACTCTTCATTGCCACTATGTCAGCCGTCAGTTTGGCCTTCGGCTGGTCCTTGCTGAAGCCTTCGGGAGCAACATCAGCCGCATCCATAGATCATGTGGTTGGGATGCTGAGGGGATGCTTACCGTATTTTTCGGACTATAGGACGCACCGGCCCATAGGACGCACCTAGTTTTCAGGGGGGGAAATAACGTAAAAAAATATTTTTTCCCCCCCGCCGCTCTGGGAGCAGGGGACAGGCTGCACGCAGCCTGACCACTACTCCAAGACCTTCTCCCTGCTTTTGCGGGAGGTGGCGGAATTCCCCACCTCCCGCAAAGCCCACAGGAGCCCCGCAGCGACTCCTGCGGGCTCTGACCAGGAGGGAGAAGGGACTGAAACAGCCAGTCAGTCCCTTCTCCCTCCTTGGGGAAAAGCCCCAAGAGCCGCTTGCTCTTTAAAGGGTGTGCAGCTCCTGCGGGCTTTCTAGGAGGTGGGGAATTCCCCACCTCCTAGAAGCCGTGGAGCCCCTTTAAAGAGCGCGCGGCTTAGCCTGCTTGCGGGAGGTGGGGGAATTCCCCCACCTCCCGCAAAAGCCCAAAGGAGGGTTGGAGAGTAGCGGGAGGGCGTTGCGCGCCTTCCCGCTGCCCCCCATCCTCTGGGGCTGGTGATGGGGGAAGCGCTGCTTTCCCCACCGCCAGCCTCGAAGCCGGGTTGGAGGGTAGCGGCAAGGCGTCGCGCGCCTTCCCGCTGCCCCCCATCCTCTGGGGCTGGCGATGGGGGAAGCGCTGCTTTCCCCACCGCCAGCCTCAAAGAGCAGACTCTCCTGGCTTCAGCGGAAGCAACGCGAAGCCTCCGGAGCGCAGGCTTCGGAGGCTTCGCATTGCTATCGCTGAAGCCAAGGAGTCTGCATTCGCTCCATAGGACGCACACACATTTCCCCTTCATTTTTGGAGGGGAAAAAGTGCGTCCTATAGTCCGAAAAATACGGTATTTACAGTAGTCATGGCCCATTGAATAGTAGAACTGAAACAGGGCTGCTTGTGTCAGGATGGAAATGGCTGATCCCTCAATTCCCTGGAAGTTCCCAGCAGCTTCCATTGCCTCCTATCCTTGAAAGAACTCAAGCAGGGCCACCTGCAGTCCAGCTGAAGCCGGTTGACCCTCCATTGGGTGGTCTTGGGCTGGCCGGCTTTTGGTACCACTAGCTACAGCCTCCTTGGAGCTAGAGGAATCCCAGAATGCATCCAATTCCTGCCAAAACAAGGCTTGCAATTCAGAACCAATCACCTGATCCATGCCAAGTGCAAAGCCTGCTAGGATCAGCTGTACTACGGCCCAACTCTGTTCTCTAGATCGCTAATGTGTTCAGATGCCTGATTGTCCCCTGGGCAGCTTGCAGGGTGGGCCTAAAAGGGGCAGCCTGAAGGCTTTTGACGTACGTACCTGCATGGTTGCAGTGCTTCCCTTCAGTAACTCACATATTCCTGAATCTTTTGCAGGAGTTCAGAAACATCTCATAGTGCCTTTCCTTGGACCAACTTCTTCTGACTTCATTGCCATGATGATAACCATCAATTCAGTCTCTCTTGTTTTCGAAAATGCTATCACTTTCATCTGCTCCAACCTGTGTTCCTTATTTCAAATTCTGTATTTCTCCTCGTTCTGGGAGGGGGTGGGTTGAAATAGAAAATCATAAACTCAGTCCCTCACCCTCCCACTTTCTTCACCTCGGCAGTTTCTTTCCAACATACTGTATTTTCTCATGCATAACATGCCCCCGTGTATAAGACAATACTATTTTTTAGTAAATGGGGGGAGATTGTTGTTAAGCTTTTTTGGGGGGAGCGGGTTGCCGACGACCGCTCACCCACCTGAACACCGCTGCCAGTCACACACCTCAACAAAGCCACCGATCCTCCACCCGCTCCATTTCTTCTAGGATAATTTCGGAGATTTTGTCTTTGTTGAAATCAATTCCCAGTCCATGAGAAAAGGGGAAAAAAGAAACAGGAATGTTAGAATGTGAGGGATGGATCAGACCCCCAGGCAGGCATGTCACATTTTTGAAAGAAGATTTCGAAATATACTAATATGTAGATGATATTATTATTATTATTATTATTATTATTATTATTATACATTTGAGGGCGGGGACTGGGATGGAGAACATCTTTGCAAAATGGGGACCAGTGAGCATTTCAAAGCAAATTCATGGTTTTTTTTGGGTCAGGAAAGCCCAGATGAGGTAGGTTTACATTAAAATGGAAACAAACTAAAAATTTCTGTCCTCAGTGTCATTAGAGACCCTATTGATTGATTTATTCGTTCGTTCATTCGTTTATTCACTTAGAGCAATTGTACCCCTCCCCTCAATGAAAAAGGCTACCAGAGAGGCTTACACGAAATAAAAACAAGACACATTCCTTACTCGCAGACATCTATTGAGTAAACAATCTGACCAACAGAAATGCAACACACAAGGAAAGAGAGCAAGGAGGGCAGAGGAAAAGACAACTCGCAAGCTCAGGCCCCAGGGTCTAGAATGCTGTTCTCATCTCTCCCACTGAGGCAGCCTGCTGAAATGGCTGCCGCCAGATGCCCGCTGGGGGAGAGGAAGCCTGAGGGAGCTGGCCTGTCTCAGAAGCCCATGGCGCTGTTTCTCATCCGTCCTTCCTCCAGGAGCAGAGCTCCGCCAAGGCTCCTGTCTCTCCCTCGCCTGCACCTGGGAGCAGCCCTTTCCTGTGATGGACTCTGTAGACAGGTGGGCAGCAGGGCTCCCTGCCTCAGCTCTGCAGAAAAACCAGCTCCACCCGGTACCCCCTTCTCCTCCACTGGGCTAGCCACTCACACTTTCTTTCCTTCTTCTGTTTTCCCCTTTCCCATCCAAACTATAGTACAAACATAACATCCAGCATGTAGAAATAGAAATGAAGCCTCTCCCAGATTCACATGTACATAAATCAGAAGGAATCCTCTGTTCAAAATAATATTCAATCGACTTCAATATAGGACACTAAAATTTCCTTTTCGGCATTCCTTCTCCCCTTCCAAAAACTTGAGCAAAGCTCAACCCTTTCTTTGACTTTGGATAGCTCTTTGCCAGACTTGGTGATACCATTAATCTAGGTTCCAGAGTTAAGTCCCCTGGCCATGGCAACCTCCACTTACCTCCAGGAGTCTTTGGGACGCCATCTTCTAATGTAGTGACTGAGCGAAGGTCACTGCAGGCCACCTCTGCAAACCTCGAGATGCTGAGGATACTGGAATCTCAGTTCAAACGGTCACAAGTTCCATTGTAGGCAACAGCCATTGAGAACATGGAATTCATGGCCACAGTGCCAAGGTTCTGGAAGACTTTGTGTGGCCTAGTGATTAGAGTGCTAGACTCTCATCTGGGAGAGCAGTTTTCAAATCCCGCCTCAGCCCTGAGACTCAACTGCATGACATTGGGCTAGTTACTCCCTCTCAGCCTAACCAGCCTCACAGGTTGTTTTGAGGAGAATATAGGGAGGAGGAGAAATATGCATGTCGTATTGAGCTCCTTAGGGACACGGGTGGTGCTGTGGGTTAAACCACAGAGCCTAGCTCTTGCCGATCAGAAGGTCGGCGGTTCGAATCCCCACGACAGGGTGAGCTCCCGTTGCTCGGTCCCTGCTCCTGCCAACCTAGCAGTTCGAGAGCATGTCAAAGTGCAAGTAGATAAATAGGTACCGCTCTGGCGGGAAGGTAAACGGTGTTTCCGTGCACTACTCTGGTTCGCCAGAAGCGGCTTAGTCATGCTGGCCACATGACCCGGAAGCTGTACGCCGGCTCCCTCAGCCAGTAAAGCGAGATGAGCGCCGCAACCCCAGAGTTGGCCACGACTGGACCTAATTGTCAGGGGTCCCTTTACCTTTACCTTTTATTGAGCTCCTTGGAAGAAAGGCGAGATATAAATGTCATAAACTGATCCACAAACTACCAGCTGTTAAAAGATGACCTATACCAGTATGAGAGCTGGACCATAAAGAAGGCTGATCGCCAAAGAATTAATGCTTTTGAATTATGGTGCTGGAGGAGACTCTTGAGAGTCCCATGGACTGCAAGAAGATCAAACCTATCCATTCTGAAGGAAATCAGCCCTGAGTGCTCACTGGAAGGACAGATCCTGAAGCTGAGGCTCCAATACTTTGGCCACCTCATGAGAAGAGAAAACTCCCTGATGTTGGGAAAGATGGAGGGCACAAGGAGAAGGGGACGACAGAGGACGAGATGGTGGGACAGTGTTCTCAAAGCTACAAACATGAGTCTGACCAAACTGCGGGAGGCAGTGGAAGACAGGAGTGCCTGGCGTGCTCTGGTCCATGGGGTCATGAAGAGCTGGACACGACTAAACGACTAAACAACAACATACCAGTATGTGCATAGGCGCACCAGTGGAAGGCGCCGGGAGGGGGGGAACTGCTCCCTGCAAACCAAGTAAGTAAATAAAAATACTTCACTAAAAGTAGAAATTGAAGAAATATTTTAATAGATTTTTCAGAGCCCTTGGGGTTCAAAGAAAGCAATGGAAAACAACTGTTGTTGAGACATTTAATTCTGAATCTGCTAGACAGAGCCAGAAAGAGGATGGTGACAGTTGGGTGTCCTGGTCCAGTCCTTTCCAAAAAGTTGCCCAAAGCTCAACCCTTTCTTTGATCTTGGATAGCTCTTTGCCAGACTTGCTGACACCATTATTCTGTGTTCTAAAGTCCACTGGAAATGCCAACATTCACCTACTTCCAGGACTCTTTGGACGCCATATTCTAACACAAGTAAGCAAACTCTGCAAACTTCTACATGTTCCCTGTGATTGTTTGGGGTTTTCCTTCTTCCTGTGCAATTACATGCAGCACGGGGACTAAGTGCATAGTCAAGTTCTGTTGTGTGTGTCTGGCTTGTTAAGGTGCATTCTTTGTTTATCTGGGGGGGGGGTCAATAAAAATTCATCTTTTAAAAATAAAATAAACTCTCTGAGCTCATACCCTTCCGCCTCGGGACAGTAAATTCCAGCCAGGCAATGCAGTCTGCTTTCCCCTACAGTTCATATTGGACACACACACACCCCTCTCTCTCTAAACAAAGGCTACAAGATGCAAACCTGATTCATGATAGGAGCTGCGGCTCTGAGGTTGGTTGCTGCTGAAACAACATTAGTGTTGTCCTCGTATTTACGGGACCGCCACTCCTGGTATGCCCCGCAGAGGACCTTAAGGTCCATGAATAACCATAGTTTAGAGGTCCCGGGCCCTAAGGAAGTCAGACTATCCTCCACCAGGGCCAGGGCCTTTTTAGTGACGGCTCCGACCTGGTGGAATGCCCTGTCCTATGAGACAAGGGCCCTTCAGGTTTAACCTCCTTCCACCAGGCCTGTAAGACAGAGCTATTCCGCCTGGCCTTTAATTTGAATTCAGCCTTACCTTTTATTCATAGCTGTCAACTTTCAGATTTGAAAATAAGGGATCAGCAGCCTCACCTGTCCCGGGGATATCTAACAATCCGGGATAGCGCAGGAAGTAGCGGGAAACGGCGCTGGAATAAGGGAATTTCCTGCAAAAAAAATGAAGGTTGACAGCTATGCTTTTATTTCCCTTCTCTTCTCTTCCCTCCCCCTCCCCTTTTATGAAGATTACCCGCTCTGAGACCCCACAGCTAATTCTCCCCTGGCCTCCTCGCTGGCCCAAGTAGGACTAATTCAGCCAGCTAGCCCTGGTGATTATCTAATGCTTATTAGATGGATTTCCCCTAAACTGATTTCTGAACTTTGAATTTTATTGTTATTCATGTTTTTATACTACATTTTATGCTGCTTTTACAATTAAAGTGTTTTAAATTTGTTGTTAGCCGCCCTGAGCCCAGTTTTTGGTTGTTGTTTTTTTCAAAAAAAATATTATTTTTCCAGAAAAGTTTTTTTAAACAAACAAACAAACAAATCTCAACCGTATTTAAACCCATGTTACATGACTTCCTCGTATCCCCCTGTTTGAATTTCATTGTATATCATTTTAACGGTTTTCCAAACCCTGAGCCCAGTTTTTGAACCGGGAAGGGCGAGGTATAAATAAAAAATTATTATTATTATTATTATTAGTGCTCTGCCTGACCCCTGCATGGAACTGCCCAGGGTGTTGCTGAATTCTGAAAACCTTGCCTTGCATTTGTACAGGCTTTGCCCCGGCTTGCTCTTTTTATGCAACCCAGAGCGCTTAGCTCAGGTCAGAACCCCTGAACTGCTACAGCCAGAACACATCAAAATGCCAACATCAAGGGCAAAAGTTGCATGAGGGGGAATCCCTGGAGGATCCTCGAGTAAAGCTTGAAGCTCTAGCTGCCCTTACCTGGAAGGAAGCACCACTGAAATCAAAGGTGTGGACTTCCAAGCTAAGAGTTGAGTTTCACAAGTCCTTCCTCTGCCTAGGGTTATTTTGCAA